TCCCACAGAGCCTTGAAAAAGAGGTGGATCTGTCAGTGCCTTCATTTCAATCTTATGACCTCCTAAACCTAAACCTCCTAGACTTTCTATTTTCAGTTACACAGCCACAGTCATTTGACAATGCTTGGAAAGACATTTTCGATTCTACCTTCTCTCCAACCTTCATTACAATAATCAGCACACATCTCCTTCATTTGAGAACGTGCAACAGCTCGGCGTAGGCATCTAAGAGAATGATATTGCTATCCACACATAATGGGGAAGTATAAGACCAGAACTCATATAACTTTAACTTGAACATCCATTACATTGTCTTGAAGTTTCCTGCTAGACTGGACACCATAAGCTAATCTCTCTGTAGGTATTTGAAATCACAACAAATACTCTTAAAGTTCTCCAGCACATTCTGATCTTACTCCTGTCCCTTCTGACTTCTGAAGTAAGATCCAAAATTGGTCTGATGATTGTTCAATAACTATAACGTCTGGGGTATGCATTCATGAAAAAAAAAATCTCATTAAGGAAATTGACAACTATAAAGTATAAGTATCAGGGCATTTTTCAGAAGTTTACCATGTTGTGAAGTCTTTCTGGTGAAAGTGCAACTGGGTAAACACACATTTAAACATTCAGGATTCAAATATGACAATTATCATTATAATAAATTTAGCCCTTTAATAAAATGGCAACAGAGAAGAGAGATGGGGAGAGAGAGAGGAGGAGGAGGACCAGGAGGAGGAGGACCAGGAGGAGGAGGACCAGGAAGAAGGAGGAGCAGGAGGGGGAGGAAGGGATGAAGAGAGAGAGGGAAAGAGGGAGGCCCGGGGAGAGAGAAAGTGATTATAAGCATGAGGAAGGATTATAACAATACAGATGTTTCTCTGGGTATACTCATCATAAACTGAAAATATCATAAATCGATAGAGCAATGAATATACCTAAACTCCGAATCCCCCACATGTGGCAACACAGCACCTCCTTTCCTCTGAACTCAAGGCCAGCTGGGTGCAATCTCCTGCTTCTGCCCTTCTGCATTTCTAGAGGGTACAAGATTGCATGTCACTGCCACGAGAGAGGAAAACAAACTCAAAGGTCAAACATCCCAGTTCAGTCTCTATTGACTATGTTTTGCTTTTGTAGCATTGTATGGTTAAAGACCATCACGTCAAACCACTGTAGGTTGAGAACTGTCTGCATCTGTAATTGCTAATTGGTCATTTGTAACTTAAAAGAAAGACTTGTGTATGAAGAACTTTCATTATTTATTTAGGGCTCTGCTGTGGCTTTACCGGCATTTCTGTGAATGTGTTGCTTTCTTCTTTAAGTGAAATATATTTCAAATATAAAGAAAGACTATTTACAGAAAATTATTGCTAAGTAGCCACAGATGCTCCACCACCTGGACTTGTAAGATGTCAATATTTACCATATTGACTACAGATTTGATCTGAGTGCTGCAAAGGCCTCACTGTAACCACTGTCCAGGCTGCTTAGGGTAAACCTTCATCATAGGATATGTTTTTACTTTCTCTTGTGATTTTATGCATTTATTGTATACTTGTACACATAAACAATAGATTGTATTTTTTTGTGTGTTATACACCATAAATTACATTGTAACCTCTCATTTTCAATTCAGTCTTTATTTTTAACTCTTTAAGTTTATTTTGGTTTAAGTTAATTTGATTCCTATTTCTTGTGTGTATAGCATTTTGGCCAATTATAAAGATATTATTAATATAATAAATCATTCAGTAGGTGATAGTCCTGACCTGGGTTTATCTCACCTGACTCTGGGAAAAGTCTGTATTAATGGAACTTTAAAGGAGAATTAAAGAAATCTAGCCAGAATATGTATAAAATATACAGAAAGAAAATGTAATATATATGACAAAAATTCCCCGTAGAAGGAATCTGTCTCGCTAAATGTGTTAGGGTGTTAGAAGGATATCCATGTTATTATTTTTCATATATCATACATTCATATATCTATAAGCTATCTAAATTCAGAAGAAATTATGATCTTCAGCCTTTCAGACAAATATTACAGTTGAGGGGGTATAAAATGCCCTGGCTGGGGCTTATGAGCTTCTGTCTGTTATGAAAACAGCCCCTACTGGGACTAGGCCTTACACTCAGGCATTCCTATATGGGAGAAAAGTACCCTCCCACTGAGTGACATCCATAGCCTTGTTTTGTGCTTTTCATTTCAAGATAGGAGCTCACTAAGCTGCCCAGCCTGGCCTTGAACTCACTCTTGTAGCAAAGGCCGACCTTGAGTTTTTGAATCCTCCTACTTCAGTCTCACAAGCAGTTGACTCAGAGGAGAGGCCAGTTCTCCATCGAGCCCCTCCCCTAACTCTGAGATGGCCAAGGATTCGCAGAGAACTCATTTGCCAAGAGATAGGATATAACTGGAAAAAAAATCAGATGACAGGCACGCATTGGCATATTGCAGTCACCCTCCTTGTAATTGATGAATTATATAACTATTGAGGGCTTTTTTTTCTTTTAAAATTAGTTTTTAAATCTTTGACAATCCCTTACTTGCATACAATGAATTGATATCATAGTCTTTCTGCCTCTATTACCTTCTCCTCTGTCCTTTCCATTTCTGGTCACTTCCTTATGCTTCCCAAGTAGACCTTTCTATTTCCATTTGTGTGTCTGTGTGCCAGTGTGTACTTGTGTGTGTGTGTGTGTGTGTGTGTGTGTGTGTGTGTGCATGTGTGCATTTACACCAGTCTAGTGCAGATAGTCACAGATTCTGTGTTCATAATTGCCTTGGCCAGACCATATCCAGCAGACAGCATTTTATAACACTCATTCCTATCCTCCACCTCTTACATCCCTGGCACCTGATCTTCTGGGATGTCACCTGGACCTTGGAGTGGGTAAAATAGATGGCTCACTAAGGGCTGTTTCCAATATAACATGCCCCCTTTCTTAGGTATGCAAAGTCATCTTCTAGTTCACATATCTCATAATGTGGTTGCTGGGCCAGCAACATCAGCACCACCTGGGGACTTGTTGCACATGGGAATTGTAAGGTTCCACTCAGGCCCTATAAATATGGGGCCAGAAATTTGAAATTTTGCTGCATACCAAGAATTAAGAACCACTGCTTCAGGGTCAGCAAGGTTCACCAATGCCATCTGTTGAGGAGGAAGACACTGAGAATGCTTACATACGCAAGTGTGCAGACAACAAATCTTACATAATCAAACATTTGAATATGTCAGTTTGTCCCTAGATTGCACATTAAGTATATACTCTATATTATGTCTGGATACACTCAACTTTGTAAAAATGAACACACAAGCATAACACTACTGAGCACAATGGGATTCTATTAAGATGGAAAACTTTATACATCATTCTTAGAATATTATCTTATTTTCTTAGGCACTTGCTATAAGTGATTAGGTCACTCATGGATTTTTCTCAGTAGTTGAGAGTTTAGATCCTATCATAACAGGTTATTTATATTTCAAAAATGTTCAGCCTTTGCCTGAGTGAGAAATAGATTTGTGCTTTGGCATGATTCCATTAATTCTGTAGAAGCTAGAACATAGTTATAATAATGTCTGTTTATGCTTCTGTGTGGCTCACGAGGTGAGTCAGGTTATAGGAAAGTTTCATTGAGTTGTTGAATTACTGTTTCAACAAACTTTGGTTGAATTAGGAGACAATACCACTGAATATTTCTTAAATAAAATGAACTCTAAAAACTAAAACCATACATCCTATTTGGACACTAGAGAACTATTTGTTACTTTTATTTTATGAGTCTTGTATGCATGTATGTCTGTGCAACACGTGGGTGCCTTGTTCCTAGAGAGGCTAGAAAGGAGGCATCAAATTCCCTGGAAATGCAGGGATAGATGTGTAGATGTTACAAATGGGTTATGGGTCACTCACTGGTCCTCTGGAAGAGGAGCAAGTGCTCTAACCATTGAGCAATATCCTCCAGCACTCTCTGGCTTGTTTTATAATTTAGTATTACTCAGACCTTCAATTGAAAGAATGTCTTTAAATATTACTTTATATCTTATATATAAAGTATCTCAAAGGTATATATGTTATAGATTAATTATTAAATTATACATTGAAATAGACCTACTAACTGGGTATTATGAACATGAGAGATGATGATATTGTTTAGCATAAGTTTTTTAACTGTTTTATTCCTTGATAGTTTATACACATAATGAATTGTGGTCATGTTTCACACCCCCAATTACCTCCTTTCACCAACCACTCGCCCAATCAAACCCTTTCCTACTTTCCTGTCTATTTTTGTGTCTATACAGTTCTCTGGGTTTATTTAGCATTGCTTGCCTGGACACATGTGGAATATTATTTACTGGTACACAGGCAACTCATCAGAGCCTTCGCCACTGAAGAAAGTGGCACCTGCACTCCAGAGCGATGAGAAATTGTAAACATTTGGAGGGAAAAAAATCTATGAGTCATACAGTAAGGGATGTCCTTGATAGTTATCAATTTAACTTCTTGCTTTTTCTCTGAATAAGATGCACAGTTTGACAATCTACTTTCTTGTTTATGGTGTAAGATAATCTGCTCTTGATCCTCTAAGTTGTCGAGAATCACTGGATTACACATTAGTGAATTAGGAAAATAATGACAAACTCTGTGACACATTTTCCAAATAACGTGAAAATTTATAAAACTGCAATAAACTGGTACGTCTCAAGCATCGAAGTCATTGGAACAATTTTTGAAGGGTTCTAACATATCTAAAGGTAACTTCAGTTCAGCTTTACAGTGAAGCAATGCTTGCAATTAAACTCTTCTGCCAATAGGTGGCGTAAAAAGTTTAATATTTATTCCAGTAGTTTCACTTACTGAAGAAATGAATGAAAATACTTTCTTAAAAAGAAATTAAGGTAACAGGGTTCAACCCCAACCATCTCAAAAAAAATAAAGAATTAGTGAAACAATGTGTGCATAGTCAGTCTTTGCTACCTGTTTTACAGCTACCCTTAAGAGAGTTCGACTGGTTGATGGCAGTGGACCTCATGAGGGCAGAGTGGAGGTCTTCCATGAGGGCCGGTGGGGCACAGTCTGTGATGATCGTTGGGATATCCGTGCTGGACAAGTAGTCTGCAGGAGTCTAGGATACCAAGGTGTTCAAGCCGTGCACAAGAGAGCTCACTTTGGACAAGGTAATCTAAAATCTGGTTGTTCCTTTAAAACTTGAGGTAGGCTTTTTAAAAACTTTTTTTTTTTTTTTTGAGAATTTCAAACATGAGGACTGGATGTACATCACTCTCTCTCCTCCATTCCTCCTCCAACTTCCCCCACGCAGTGCCCAAATTCTTGAAAGTAGGCAGTTTTTAACCATTTGGAAACCAAGCAGGAACAGAAGCATGTGGATCAAAAAAAAAAAAAAAAAAAAAAAAGAATTCTGCACAAAAGTTTTCAAGGAAAGTAGATACTTTAAAAAAGTGTGTGTGTGTGTGTGTGTGTGTGTGTGTGTGTGTGTGTGTGTGTGAATAAAATCTTCCTGACAAGGTAATATTTAAATTGCATTTGGCCTTGGTTGGTTATTTGGCAAACCAAGCACTGTCATTGGCCAGGAAGATCAAGAGGGATAAGGATGAGGGAGTCATGGCCCGAACATAGTACATCATCAGTGGCTGAGTTTGTGCAACTGATTCTGGAGACATCTGTTCAACATTTGTGTAGACTTACAGTCTGTCCTTGGTGGATTTAGAGGAGGGTCCCAGACTCTGTTTGAGTCCCACAGGAGTGAGGTTTTTATTCCCCTCATTTAGGTTGGAAAACTTCTTAGGCCACAAACACCTTAATGTATCTCACTGAGATGCAGCAACCAGTTCTGGGACTGCATAAAATAACTTGGAAGAGAATTTACACTGGAAAATATGCTTAAATATATGCCCTTGAAATTTTCATTGTAAATTGGTCTTTCTAAATTAGCATCTTATAATAGGTCTTAAGTGTAATTAAACATCTACAAATGTTTTGATTCTGGATAACAAAGAGATTAGGGAAACATGTACACACTTGCATTTTCATCTGTTTTCTAATTATTCCAGTCTTCAAATCAGTTTCTCTGCAGTTATGATTTTTTGTTGTTGTTGGCTTTTCTTTTTTTTTTTTTAATAAAAAAAAAAATGTTTTTAGAGCCAGGTGGTGGTGGCACACATCTTTAATCCCAGCACTCGGGAGGCAGAGCCAGGCAGATCTCTGTGAGTTCGAGGCCAGCCCAGGCTACAGATTGAGTTCCAGGAAAAGTACAAAGCTACACAAAGAAACCCTGTCTCCAAAAACCAAAAAAAAAAAAAAAAAAAAAAAAGAACATTTTTATTCATTTTACATACTAATCAAAGATGAAGATAAAGCCTCCCATGGGGAGGTATATTTAGTAGAGGCAGGTCCAAGCCCCTCCTCCTGCCTCAAGGCTGAGCAAGGTGTCTCATCATAGTTAGTGGGCTCCAAACAGCCTGCTAATGGGCCAGGGATGGATTCTGATCCTACTGCCAGGGGGCCCGTTAAGCAGATCAAGCTACATACACACTGTCTCTCTACACAGAGGTCCTAGTCCAGTTCCATGCAGGCTCCACAGCTGTTGATCTAAATGTCATGAGTTCCCACTAGTTTGGTTTGGCTGTCTCTGTAGGTTTCTCCATCATGATCTTGATCCCCTTACTCACAGAATCCCTCTTCTCTCTCCAACTGGACTCCTGGAGCTCTGCCTGGTGTTTGGCTGTGGATCTCTGCATCTGCTTCCATCAGTTATTGGAGAAAGACTTTATGAAGACAGTTAGGGTATTCACTGATCTGATTAATAGCTTTATTATTCCTGATGCATGTGGTCAATCAGAAAAAAAGAAATAGAGAAGAAATTTATGTAAAATTATAAAGATAAAATAATATTTCCTCTCCTTTATATTTCTAAAATTGGACATATATCAAATTATCATATTACAATACTAGGATAAGATTAGATGCTTAATATTCCCATAAGAGGTATGACTTGGTGATATGATACTACCATTTAGTGATAACTTTGAGCCTGATGTTATGCTGAGCACATTTAATAGAATTGACAATGTGTCACAATTACATCCTTTCCTTAGATAAATTCTCATAATAGGTAATAAGAGATGGATTTGACCAAGGATCTCAGGTTATAAGTCTTCAAACACACGCCTTAATCTGGTGAAGAAACCAAATGTAAGAAAACAGATTCCTGGTATGCAGAGATTCTGTACCCAAATTAAGTTCCTGATTATCTATTTTTATTTAATTTGTGCTATAAAAGGTGAATTGGAGAAGCAAAGGAAGTGGAAAATATCTACATTTACCATAATACAATGAATTGATGTGGTTACAAACTTCCCATCCCTATATAGGACTTCTATTCTACCTCATAAGTTGTCTGTGCTCAGAAGCAGTACACACTCAATAATTAGAAGTGCATTTGGCACTCTGCTTGAAAGTAGAGCCAGAATTACATAGAATGATGCAGAATGATAGCACACAGTGACGTCAGAGCTACTCCATGAGTCCGAAAGGTAAATGCACTTTTCCGTTGTGAGGATGTGTGAAAAGAGGTCTGACAACACTGCTCCATGTCAGTCCAACCCTTCCTTCAGTTCTCACTACTAACCCACTGAAATATGATTAGGAAAATTTAAAGAATGAAGCAAGAAGAGATGGGAAACAGAGATAAACAAACCAAGAGGGGTTGTTCTGAATGAAAAATAAAAACATTTTGAAATTTAAGTGCTGTAGTCTGCATCATGGAATATTATATGAGACACACTTGCCTAGTAAAATACTTTGGGATTAGACCCAGTGAACAACTGTTTTTGTATGGTTTTTAGAACTTTGTTCTAATACCTCTCCACATATCATTGCAATTCTACCCAGGAGATGGGGAAAGTCAGTTCTGATTGGAGAATAGAGACAGAAAAGCAAACCTGGAGCTGTGAATCAATGGCAGGGAGCAAAAGACAAACATGCATGTGTGGTGGTATTGTGTTCCCCAAAATACTGTGTACCTTAATAAGCTTATCTGGGGTCAGAGAACAGAACATCCAGTAGATACAGCAGCTAGAAAATGGTGGCACACATGCCTTTAATCCTAGCATTCCAGAGGCAGAAATCTGTCTGGATCTCTGTGAGTTCAGGGATACATTAGAAATAGCCAGGCTTGGTGACTCATGCCTTTAATCCCAAGAAGTGAGCTTTTAATCCCAGGGATTGATGGCAGAAAGCAGAAAGGTATATAAGGTGTGAAGATCAGAAACTAGAAGCTTTTGGCTGGTTAAGCTTTTAGGCTTTTGAGCAGCAGTTCAGCTGAGATTCATTCTGGATGAGGACTCAGAGGCTTCCAGTCTGAGGAAACAGGATCAGCTGAGGAAATGGTGAGGTGAGATGGCTGTGGCTTGTGCTGCTTCTCTGATCTTTCAGCATTCACCCCAATACTTGGCTCAGGTTTGATTTTATTAATAAGACTTTTCATGATTCATGCTACATTCATGTGAATTTCAATTATTTATTATTTGCTTGGGAAAATATGAAAAATCCAGTTAATTTTATATTGTCTACAACTGCCAAAATTTAAATAAAAGGAAAAAAATTTAACTCATCCACTTGATATAATTCCCCCATTTCAGAGAGAATGTAGTTTTCTGGACACAGTTCCCTCAACCTACTTTTCTTTTTCCTTTCTTTTCTTTTAGGTTTCAAAATAGCAAACCTGGCTTACCACAGATAATCCTTGTTAGCTTTAGAAACAATTAGTTTTGCAGTGGCCAGCGAAATGATTTATTGGAATAAAGCTTAAAGCATGCTCCTTTAACTAGGTCCTTTCCTTGGCATATGCTGTGTGCATGAAGTGAAATGTTCTTTCTTTTCCTGAGAAGATGAAGCCAGTGAATTTCAGGCAGTGCAGAGTTAGCTGGTGCTGGTCATTGGAGGAGGGAGAAGGACCCCTCTTCTCTATGCAGGCCCTCCAACCTCATCCTAGTGTCCACTCTGTAGCAAACAAGGATGGACTTTATCAGACCACCATGCTATCTCCAGGAACCTGCTCAGGAGAGTAAGAGTTGAAACAAAAGCAGCTGTTTTCCTTCTCCTAAATTAATGGTGCAAACCTCTAAACTTTAGAACAGAAACAAAAGAAAATTATCGTCATGGTGCTGTCTCTTGCAAACTCGTAGCTATTCTTTGCTTTCATATTAATTGCTACCACTTTCCATATTTAGTGAAATTTAAAAAAACGCTAAAGAAGAGAGGAAGCAAACCAAATTTATCTCTGCATCTTTGACCTATCTTGCAGTGAATGGTTATAAAAATAATTCCAAAGATAAAGGCAATGTCACTCATAATGTCCCTCAACATTAAAGATTTGGAAATGTAGTGGCTGGCACTATAGAACTTTTGGTAAAGCACTTACCCAGTAACCATGAGAACCTGAGTTCATAGTCCAGCATCTACATAAAAACCCAAGTAGTGGCAACAAGCATTTGTAACAATAGTACTGGGAGTGTTAGAGACAAGCAGATCTCCAGAGATCAATGACCATCCAGTTTTGCTAAACCTATGAGCTCCAGGTTCACTGAGAGACTCTGTCTCAAAACATAAGATGAAGAGTAATCAAGAATGATACCTGAGTTGACCTCTGGCCTCCACACACATGCACTCAGATGTACGTACACATACCTGCACCCAAATATGCACACACCTGCTTCCTATCCACCCCCAGCATAAATATTTTGTAAAAGTTTTGAAATGTAAATATTTGAATGTGGGTATTATTGAAGAGATCATGGAGTCTACCCTGCCTGTTTTATTAGTTATAGTAGCAAAGAGAGAACCAAGTGTACTGTGCTGTCATTTAGCTTACTGTATAATCCCCTTTGAGGATTACAGGTAGGTGCTTTTGAGAAACATATACAATGCCCCAAACCATTTTCTGTAGTTTAAGTATGGCTAGTATATATTAAGGTCAATCCACGTAAGTCTATTAAATGGGTAACAGAATTTATTAAGATATAAATTGAGGAAATACACTCACGAATACAGAACGGAGTAGACAGCTGAAGTTGTCCTCTGATCTGACTGGGAGTAAATCCTCCTTGCAGGAAGAAGCAAGGAGAAGGGACATGTGACTCTTCTCCCTTCCCTTATAAGAGATCACATACAAAGGCAGGAAGCACTGCCTCCTTTGGCCTTATAACCCAAGGTCATGGGTGGAGCAAATACCACTACAAGTTTAGATCACAAAACTAGCCCAAATTTTCAGTCATCAAGCAGGCAAGGATTTTTTTGCAAGTTAATGTTTTCATCTAGCACCCATAGTTTTTTCTACTAGACACAATCATTCTAAATTTTTTGTCAGTGAGATTTTTCCCCCTAAATAAACTTGCTCATTTACAACCTTAATGTCATAGAATACCAAAACCAAATGCAATCTTATAATCATGTTAGCCCTGCTTTTTGATGCAATTCAATAAAGGACAAAAATCAAGGGAAGTATGTAGACTTTCAGAACCACAGAACAAGACTCTGAACTGCAGACCTAACATGTTCTATTCTATTTTGATACCAACAGTGTTTCAGTTTCAAAACAAAGCATTGTTTTCTCTCAAAGAAAAATCTTTACATGATACACTTCAAAGTTACAAGTCACAAAAGTGATATGAATTCGTATCACACATCTACAACTAGATATAATTAAAACACATGCAGATACTTCAAGAAAACAGGGACCTTTTGGTTAACCAGTCCATCTACTCAGCAGCTGACAGAAAATCTTATCACTTCACCATATATCAATTAATATGTGAAATCTTATGATCCTCCTCTCTCTAAAAATTGGATTAATATGAAGATTAAAGATACTTGTCACTCAAAAAGTGCTGATATTGTTCTTTTTCAAGGTTAAGAGGAAATATAACCACCAAGCAATATAAACCAGGATCACAAAACTCCAAAAACTATAGACAATGCTTTCATTCTTGCTTGCTTTTAGAAACACAAAAGCATGTTATTTGTTTTCTCTAACAGTTAACAAATTTCAAGAGAAATCAATCATAAATATATACATGCGTACGTAGATAGGTGTGGTAGAAAGATGATATATAGATAGAGATAGGAGACAAATATATAGATAGACAAATGATAAATAACTGTAGCTAGGTCAACTGGGTAGCAATTTGGTCGGAAGCATATCGACTAAATTCTACACAAGTTACGTATGTTCCCAGTGAGTACAAAGAATATATTACACACAAACACCCAGCAGTGACTACAACAAAAGCAGAATTCCTTAAATAATTGTTATTATCTAAAGAAACAAAAGCAAATTTACTTTTTAAATCTATTAGTTTTGCATAAAGATAAAATTTTATGAATTTTATGCTACCTATGCATTAATTTTTAAAGGCAGAAAACCATTTAGAATAAGCTGGAAAATGTGTATTAAATAAAATTTTCCCTTAGGCTCAATAGATTCTGAATATATTAATACAAAAATAAAACAAATATTTATAAATTATTTCCTCACCTCTAGTTAGCTTCTGTGTGATGAGTAAATAGTACTGGGTTTGGTGTCTTCATGGTTTTACTTAGCTTTACTCTCTCCTATTTTGAGATAGCTTTGTATCCTCTGAGTCTTTGAAATGGAAGTATTGCCTTTATTTTAAAAGTTAGAGAATAAACAGAATCAGAGCAGAAATACCTAGGATATCATCTTCAAGCACTCCAAATGTTCCCACAGTTACTGAGTCCTTTCTGCTCAGCAAAAGAGATAATCATTGATGGGGCCTTAAATTTTATCACCTGTGTCTGTCCTCGCTGTGAGGTCTAGAATAATAGGCAAAAGTTATGGATGCAAATATAAACTCTGCTACCACGTTTGCAACATCAATTGTTTTATCCACCTAGAACATAAGCCCCCAGGTGGAAGTCATTCCAAGCGAGTGTGGGATTTGAATTCTTTGCACTCAAAACAGATTCATGGTATGGTTAAATCTAAGAAATGCAGAGGAATGCAGTGAATATTGATCGGCTCTGGGCAGACATAACATAGGGATTCTGTGTGGCTTTGGGCAAACTTCCTACTTCTACATCAGTTTCTGTTCTGTCAGTAGAAAATTAGAACAAAAATGGAATTTAATTCTTTAATATTGGTGGAGAATTCAAAGAGTCATTGAATCAAACAAACCATGAGTGAGTCCTGTCATATAAGCCTGTGTTTCTGTTCTCATCACCACACCCTCAGGATTCCAGCACTCAGGATTCTAGATGAACTGTTTAGTCACAGTCTCTATAACCCTGTGTGCTCACCTATTGGCACATTGACTAGGTGGTTTTATTTTCTTACTTACTGGAATAGCTGCCACCAGTGGGATTCTTCTCACTCTCACATCTCTTTTCGTGGATGAGAAAAGCTGTACTGCTAAGGTCTGAACTAAATGAATAGAGCTACAAAATAATTCAAAGTAAACCCATCACAGTAGCCCAAGGACAGAGGCCATGAGCCTTTCCTTTCTTCTGTTCCCAGAGGAATAGCAAGGCCATGGTTTCTCCACAGTTTCACCTCTGTTTATTTACATTTGCATGTGATGAGTACAATTGGTATATTTCCTTCTGCTTTGTCTTTATTCCATGTAAGCATGGGAGTGACCATACATGGCTGTTATTTGTCTGTGTTTCTTTTAGTATCCCTTTAGGGCTTTCCAGAACTTTCTGTAAGATTTTTTATGTAGTGGAAAGAAAATGCACACACAAATAAATATTCACAAATACTGAAAAGGTCATGCCATACCCAATAAGCAATTTGAGAACTAAAAAGTATTCCTTGCAAGGTTTCTACCTTTGATATTTTATTTTCTTACATTTTTTATGTCTTCACATTTCAATCACAAAAGTACAGTGTTGTTGTAGACATTCTCCAGATGATTGAATTCTCAAGCTTATTAGTATTACTTTTATATTTGAGCATCCCAGGAATCCTTTGCTTTTTTGTAATAGGACATTGAGGGCTGGAGGTGTACAGTAGGAGCAGATCACTTGAGCTTAGCATACCCAACATCCTGGATTCAATTCCCCAAACACCAAATTAAAACAAACAAACAAACAAAACCAATGAAACAAATAAATCAAAACATAAAAGAAATATTTGGATTCTGATAATTTATTAACCATTACATGAAAACACATATTTATAATTGCCTTGATAATGCAAAACAAAATTGTGTCTTGTGTTTAGATCTTCCTAGTAGAGACATGTTACTTAAATCTTAAAGGAATGTACCAATCTTTGTTATGTATGGAAAAGTGGTCTTCCTGTTCTATTCCACAAACAAATAAAAATTGAGTCTTCAAGGAAAATTTCCATAAATGAATCTTATGAAGCTTCTTTCTCCCTTGAAAATTTTTCCATTAAACTTCCACTTTGACATACAACTGTAAAATATATATCTGATGATGTATGTATTTTGATGGCTCTCTATGTATAATTCAAGAGTTTTTATAATATAGTCCAAATTCCAATTTAACCTACCAAATATGTCTTGTTTCAGTCATTAATTGTGTTTTAGATACCCAGAGACTATTCTAAAATATTAAACATTTCTATGCTTCCTTTGCCATATGAAATAAGTATTTTTGTTTATAATGAAAAAGCTTTATCTATGCTTTAGATCATGTGTTTTCTACACTATGAATTATGACATCATCAGTAGCTGATTGTTTCTGTATGCACATATTACTATGCAATTATGTTTATAATTCACCATCTACCTATTGTTCTGAAAACCTCATCTAGAAGTTTGGATTTAATATGGCCAACAAAACCTGATGTAAGCACATGTTTATGTTTCCTAAAGGTTCTGTTTTCTAATATCTTAAGAATAAAAAATAAGAATTTTTACAGTGATACACTGAAAAAAGAATGTCAAAAAATATTTCCATTCACTTATTTTTAAATTTATCTTTCATAACACAGCTTCCTTTCCAAAAACAATTGTTTTCTTCTTGATAAAATTCTATCTTTAGTGGCACCTTAGTCTGCTTATTTATTAAATTAAATATTTGTTAGGTAGTCTACTAGTGAGTAGTTTTTCTTCATTATAATGAACCTGTGAATGACCTCAGAGAAAGTGAATGTGTTTTAGCCTCACCAATTTTTTATTTGCTTGTGCTTAAAATCAACACCACTTTCAGTCCAGGGTTTCCTTATAAGATGATTTTACAAATGCTTTACTAAATCAATATGGTAGTTTCATTAAAATAGATAGGCTATTTGGTAAACTAGGCAATGCTCAGTGAAATACACTAATAGCTAAAAGCTACAGAAGAAAAGAGGTTTCTGCCATGCCATCCATTTTCTGCCGGTATTTTTATCTCCAGGTATGCACCAAAATTCCAACATCTAAGAACACTTCAATCAGCATGTCATTACATAGATCCACTGCTGTCAATGCTTCCTTATTTTTAGATTAACAACCAAAGCCAATGCATCCTCAGGAAGACAATCAATTAGCCTTTAATCTGGGCTTTCACAGAACTATGCAGGGACTTTTTTGTAACTATTATTATTTTGCAGTCTAGTAGTTTCCAGGGTTGCAAAGTATGAAGTTTTCTGAGGCAGGAAAGCCAAATCTAGATTCACAGTACTTGCATGTAAAGAGTAACCAATGCTTTGCCCCATTCAATCATAAACCCTTAGCCATAGTTACTAATGCAGATGTATCTGATTATTGCAGGTACTGGTCCAATATGGCTGAATGAAGTGATGTGTTTTGGGAGAGAATCATCTATTGAAGACTGTAAAATCAGGCAATGGGGAGTGTTAGCCTGTTCACATGCCGAAGATGCTGGAGTTACATGCACTTCATAATACATCATAATTTCACTAACATTTATGAAATCACTGTTGTAAAATTATTTTAGTTGCCCTGCTCCACTAAAACCATTTTAATGGATAGTAAAGAGATTCACAGTATTGGTAAAAGAAAAAGAATATTTTAAGTGACTGGAAAACGTTTTTAAACTCATCAGACTTAATCTATGTCTATATATGAAGCATTCTAACTTCTTGCAATGGTCAATTTTGATTGTCAGCTTGAAAGAATCTACAAGTGGCAATTTTTGCCTCGTGTGGCAAAAATACGGTTATTTCTATGAGGACATTAAACTGAGGTAGAGTTGTTGGTAGTGCTATTCCATTGTTCATGGGATGAACACTAACTATATAATGCTTCTATTACTGAGACAGACTACCTGAAGCCATGAGTCAAAAAAAAATCCTTTCTCGAGTTTCATTTATAGCAATGAGGAAAAATAGCAAGTGGAGAAAATTTGTACCAGAAGTGGGGTTGTAATTGCCGTAAACCTGGCTACATCTTGTCAACTTGTTGAATTAATTTAACTGGAGGAATGGAGGAAAGTTTAGAGCCATAAGCTGTAGCTGCTCTACAATGCTATAAGCAGAGCTTAATGGACTCTCCTGGTAGGAATTTGGAAGTTCATAATGGTGAGAAAAATGCAAATGCTAAAAGTCAGTTTCCAGAGGTTTCAAAAGGATATAAGGATTCCATCAAGACCTGGAAAGGGCCATTCATGTTACCTTCCAGAAACTACTATGATTTCATTCTATTTGTGTTCTAGACTAAATAAAAACCAATGGGCTAGTATCCTTAGTGGATAAAACTTCATGATCTAATTGGTTCAGTCTGTGACGTTGTTACAAATCTGTTTTCATACAAATCTACAATGAAAAAGAGCAAGAAGTGGAGCAGGAAGATATGAAAAATGTGCAGTTTTAGTGAGAAATGAACATGCACTGGTTTAAAGTTGCTGAGAAAGAAGTGGGAGAGAAAGGAACTGTGATTGTTAAAATGATTTGAAAAATTAATGAGAAACTTCACATTTTGCAGTAGAAAAAAATAAGGGTGCCCCGATAACAACACCGAGGAAAGTCTCTAACTTATAAAAATGCAAATTTATTTGAATGGACAGAAATTGAACTGAAAATTCTGCTCAAGGAATTCTCTGCAGAAAACAATTTCCTAGAAAAGTTTTGTCCTGGAATCAGCCACCAGTGTACACAGAGACCTTTGTAATCGTTTGGCAGAAAGGGTCCAGACTGTATTTCAAGACCAAACTTCGAAGCCTCATTCCATATGGTAGAAAATAAAAGAGCAAGGGATTCGCAGAGGCTTACAACAAGATACTAGAAAGACACTGAGGTCAGGAAGTACGTGTCAGAGTCAGATTTCCTATAAAGAATCCCCTAGAGGACATTGTGTGAAGCTGTGAAGGTGAAGCCTCAGCTGAGTCAGTGCTGCCAGGACTGAGAGATATCTACCGAGAAAAGCTTCATGTACAGAGTAGAACTTATTATCCAAGAGAAAGTTTAAGTGTGCTGAGATAGCAGAAACAGAATTTCTAGGTTACCCAGTACTTTAGGAATCCAGATGATTTCTCTGGGAATCCATGTGCCTAACATGGAATTATGGGAGTTAATTTTTACCATATTGGATTTCAGTGGTTTTTTGACTGTTCTTTCTTTACTATGATTCAATTCATCCCTTTTGGATTGGCAATATTTATACTGTGAGATTATATACTAGAAGTATGTAACTTGTGCTTTTTAAAAGTAGGATTTCACAGGGAAGAGATTGTCTGATTCTAAGAAGGGATTCTGAACTTCTGTTCTGAACAGTTTTGAAACTCTTATGGTTTTGAGGACTCTTTGAAAATAAACTAAATGTGTTTTGCATTATGAGATTAATGTGAAACTTTAGGAACCAGGGACAACATGTTAGGATTTAACTTGAGTATTATGTTAATATGACAGGGGTGGCTATGTGACGGTTAACATTACTGGTCATGCTATTGAGATTTAGGATGATCTAGAAGATACACCTCTAGCCATCTCCTTGAAAGCATTTCCAAAGAGATTTAAATGAGAAACCAAGACCTGAATTTTGTGACTCTATCTTATTGGTTGTGGTTCTGGCACTAAATGAAAATGGAAAGTAGGTGGAGAACAGATTTTCATTTCTTTATGCTCCCACATGCTCCTGCCATGTTGCCTTCCCTGCAGTGATGGGCTATCACTCAAAACATGTTCCAAAATAAACCAATCATCTAATAAGTGGGTTTTATCTAGTGACTTTCACAAAATGAAAATAGCAAGGAATATGCTTTCTCTAGGATTTTACATGGAATTTTTAAAAATAATGATGTATCCAATTGAATATTTTGAAACTTGAAACTTTTATAAATGAGATGAGAATACAAAAAAAGGAAAAGAAAGACGTCCTTGCACACAGGGAACAGAACAAGTGTTGTTCTAGATTTTGAAACTTAGGTACAAAAGATAGGAGAATAGAGACCATTGCAGAATTGCAATTATGTACTGAGCTAGTCACCTTTTAAAGTAGGATGACAGTTAAGACTTCACTGCTAATCTTTGCTTTATGAAGGCAACACAATGCTGAGATTGAATCATATATTCTCAGATTATAAACGAGTTATATAAAACATAAAACCATTGCTATGTAGTTTCTTTTTTCTACAAAAAAAATCACATATCAGAAATACAAAGTATATTACTGTATTCATTTTTAAAACTGTAAATGTGAATATGGCTCTTCGAGTTCAGTTGGATTCCCTGATTTAAAAAAATATGATATGAAAACCTATGTTCATATCAGCATTGTTTGTAATAGCCAGAACCTGGAAACAACCTAGATACCCTTCAACTGAAGAATGGATAAATAGAATGTGCTACATATACACAATGGAATACTACTCAGCAAAGAAAAACAATGACATCATGAGGTTTGCAGGCAAATGGATGGATCTAGAAAAAATCATCCTGAGTGAGGAAACCCAGACTCAGAAAGACAAACATGGTATGTACTCACTCATAGGAGGATACTAGATGTGGAACAAGGATGACTGGACTGCTACTCACAACACCAGGGAGGCTGCCTGGAAAAGAGGACCCCAAGAAAGGCACGGGGATCGCCCAATGATGGAGAAATGGATGAGATCTACATGAACAGCCTGGATGTGAGTTGGAGTAATGAAGGGCAAGGGTCGAGGGAAAGAGAACTTGGGGGAGCAGAAGATCCCAGCTGGATCAAGAACAGAGAGGGAGAACAAGGAATAGGAGACCATGGTAAATGAAGACCACATGAGAAAAGGAAGAAACAAAGTGCTAGAGTGGCCCACAGAAATCCACAAAGATACCCCCACAATAGACTACTGGCAATGGTCGAGAGACAGCCGGAATTGACCTACTCTGGTGATAGGATGGCCAAACACCCTAACTGTCATGCTAGAAACCCCATCCAATGACTGAGGAATGTGGATGCAGAGATCCACAGCTAGGCCCCGGTGGAGCTCTGGGAGTCCAATTGGCAAGAAAGAGGAGGGTTTATATGAGCAAGAATTGTTGAGACCAAGGTTGGATAAAGCACAGGGACAAATAGCCAAATGAATGGAAACACATGAACTATGAACCAAAGGCTGAGGGGCCCCCAACTGGATCAGGCCCTCTGAATAGGTGAGACAGTTGATTGGCTTGATCTGTTTGGGAGGCATCTAGGCAGTGGTACCAGGTCCTATGCTCAGTGCATGAGTTGGCTATTTGAAACCTGGGGCTTATGCAGGAATGCTTGTCTCAGCCTGGGAGGAGGGGACTGGAACTGCCTGGACTGAGTCTATCAGGTTGATCTCAATCCTCGGGGGAGTCTTTGCCCTGGAGGAGATGGGAATGGGGGGTGCCCTGGGGGGAAGGGGAGGGGTGAGGGAGGGGGGAGAACAAGGGAATCCGTGACTGATATGTAGAATTAAATTATATTGTAAAATAAAAATTAATTAAAAAAAAACAAAAAAATATGAGAACTACATACTGGAATAATTTTAGAGAATAAAGCAAGAGACTGGAAATACAGTGTTAACCATCCATCAAGAACCTCCCCAGGCCCAAACAAGTTTAACCAGTCTTCATGGAAAATATTTCTTTTGCTAACCACAAAATTGTCTGATGCTTCATTTTCTCAAAAAGATTGCTAAAATTAATGACACTATTTTGTTTCTTTCCTTAAACAACAAAATAACCATCCCATTCTAAAGATATAATGGTAGAATAAAGTGAGCACAGGTCTATTATTCTGAACAAACAATTATTAGGGATATCAAGTACTTGTCAGAGATATGGCATGACATATATCTCAGTCAACTGCTGGAGTGACTAGATGGGAGAAGTGGTAATCTGAGAAAGTTAAGAATAAAAGAAAAGAAGAATGAAGGAGAGAAAAGAAGAAAGGCAAATGGAAAACTGGGAGTATATAGAGGGAACTTCAAGAAACAGCATATTTGGTAATCAACTCCATTATGTGTTAAACATTTTGAATTAGGAGGTAATTAAATAAGTTTTGATATATTGAAATGGCATATGCTATAAAGATGGCAATAAATTAACTGAAGGAGAAGTTCATCTGGGTCATAGTAATATTAGACAATTATTTTTATCATAGTACTCAAGTTCTATTTTATGTGAATGTGCATGTGTGCATTGTGCGTACAAGTGCATGAGTGTGTGTGTGTGGTGAAGTCAGAAGCTGATAATGTCTTCTTTAATCTCTCTCTCCATCTCATGTTTGAGACAGGATCACTCCATGAACCCGGATATCCCTGATTCAGCTATAATATCTGGCCAACAAGACCCAGTGTTCCCCTCAGAGTGGTGTGTAGAGGAGTATATACATGTTTGTGTGGGTGTACATGCATGTGTGTGGAGGATAAATGTCTTCCTCATTTCCTCTCCATATAAAATTCATTTATGTGCCATATTAACATGATACCTAGAGATATTATTTTATGCAATATGTGATTCCAGGTTGGTTCTAAAATATTCAGATAAGGGTGAGGGTACTCAGGCTGAAATGGTGCTGGCTGCAAGTTTTATAGGGAAGGCATTCAACCCACCATGCTTATCCATATGCCATGGAAAATGGAACAATTCTGTGTGAACTGCTTGATTCAGGTTGAGATTATAAGGAGTCTTGGTGGAGAAATATGGACAGAGCCAAAGCAACTTTTTTCAGGTGCTTCAAATCTTTCCTATCCTTCCCACATTTGATGTCTATAAAGTTGCAGAAATGGAGTTACTTTCAAAGTTCTTTTGTTTTTTGAACTGTCTTCTTTTCCTTTTTTTAAATCTATTTTTTATTGAAAATAGACTGTTTTCATACAATATATTCTGATACAGTTTTTCCTCTCCCAACTCCTCTCAGGCCCTACCCTCCTGAATCACAACCCTAATTTATTTTAACATAACATTGTAGTGGGTAGCCATTCCCATCTGAATCCAAACCCTCATTTATTTTAACATAACATTAGACTACCATGCGCCATTTCTTCATTAAGATTAAAAAATGATAATGCCCCATAAATTAAAATAGGAAATTGATTGTGTGGATGGAACTTTTAAGTTACCCATGTTTTCAGGGAGGGAAAATAATGTGGGACTCAGATTAGTGTGATGCAGTGAAGGAAGTGTTTTCCACCCTGAGGAAGATAAAATTCTACAAGGAGAGGATTTCCCAGACTTCCTGCGGATTTCTTGGCAAGGACAGTGGAGAGAGCCTACTCTAAGCCTTTACAGGGGTCCAGAAACAAACAAAAAACACAGGGAAAGGGCCATTTACCCAAAGACTGATCCTAAGTGGGACTATGATGAGCTCTCATACCATGAAAAGAGCCAGGGTGGGAGTAAAGGTAGGAGAGGCAGGGGTACCAGAAACCACCTCAACAAACCTTCCTCGGGCTTTCCAGAGCCTTTGGTTCTTTCTCTTCACTTGGATTCTTTTCTGACTTCACTATTCCCTTACCCTTCTCTCCAGAAAAAAAATAATAAAAATGGATTTTTTCATTTTGGTGCTGTCACAGGAAAAGTTGGCTAGATCTACAGAATGCTTGTCACTGGGGTTGGGGTGGGGCCAGGGGGCAAAGGAGGGCCATCTCACAAGTCATGCCCAAGAAATCCATGGCATAGCCAGATCCCAGCCAGGCTGTGGCGAGCAGCAGAGAAGTAGGCAACAGAAAGAAAAAACGAAGCAAGTTGGACCTGTCCTTGAAGTTCTTGGGATCTAGCGAAGAATGTGTGTGGCTGACGCCAAGATTTTTATGAGCAGTACACTCAAAAAGGATGACAAACAAAGCCATTGGCACTAGGGTGGAAACTGCAGTCCAGGAATTTTTAATTGGATTCAAAAGACAGCTGGAAATCAGAGCAACTGTGTAGGAAAGGAAGTTCTATGTGATGGTCCCTGCCTGCGACTGCAAGAAAAAGTGCCCCTCTGAAGGCTTTGGGGAGCAGGTGGGCACAGCACCATCTGAAGTAGGGTTTGTTTTAGCTTAAGTGATGCTCTGCAGCCTCTAAAACTGACGTAATTATGGAATGGAAGCTCAGCCAGACCCGTGATGAACACAGAAACCAACGGCGCTTCCTTTCTAATGCTCAACACTTTTTCATCTTCCAAATAAGATACCAATATCTTGATTCTTTCTCATGTAGTATCACATCTGTCTACAAAATTGTAACAGTTAATGAAAAATGAAAGAGGCTATGAGTTTGAAAAGAAGCAAGGAGGGAAATATGGGAGGGTTTGGAAGGAGGAAGCAGAAAGAAAAAAAAAATATGTACTTGTATTATAACACCAAAAAAAAACCTTACTAGGAAGAATAGATTATGTGGTGAAAATGTATGTAAGCCCTACAGTCTCATAATATTCAAATTGGCTTCATTATTTTTATTATTCCTGTCTAGAAAGATGAAGAGAAAGGAGGAGAAAGACTGTTTTACTTTTCTGTAAATCTGGCTTGGCCTAATTCTTTACTAAGAATTATAGGTATGTGTGGGGAATTTTTAATATTTGATAACAATATGAGTTTCTTTGTAAATCTGATTAGTCACTTGGGTGTAATTATCTTCCTTTGTTGTATAATTCATGTGTGGCATTGGTGGATATCAGCAATGTTAGTAACGGAAGCTGCTTTAATTTCTGTGGTTTCCTTAAAGAGCTTAAAGGTCCTAATTGGCACATAAAAAGCAGAAGGGTCGTGTGGAAAATATTAGGGGAATTATTTCAGCAAGGGACATGGCAGCTGGACTAATCCATCATTTACCAACGTCACCTACTCTTTCAATCTCCTGGCCAGAAGATTGCATCATGGTCCCACCACACCCTAGTATCAACTCTATCACCATCCATCTATGAGCATTAATTTTCTCATGCCTATATAGAGCCATAATATTAATGGCATGCTTCTTAAAAATCAATAAAACAGGACTGGTGAGATGACTCAGTGGGTAAAATCACTTTCTAGCCATGCCCGATCACAGGAACCAACCATGAAAGGGGAGAACCAACTCCCAAAATTGGTTCTTCAAATTCCACTTATCATAATTGCCTGAACTTCAAAACCATCAGCTTGTGAATTTGGGGATTCTTTCCAGTACATATAGTTTTAATT